ACCGTGACAGCCAGACCCAGGTGGGGCCCGAGGGGGGGGCGGCTGGCCGCCGCCACCTCCCAGCATAGAAGAGGGCGGGCAGGGCGTCTGGGACAGGCTGTGTCTCCAGCGCATCTCTCCCCCCACCCCTCCCCAGATCGCACCCAGCCCAGGGCAGAGCCGTGGCCGCGCCCTCCCAGGACCCCCGGGAAGGACAGCAGAGTCAGGAGGGCAAGTCGGCTCCTGCAGGTAAGGGTCTTGCAAAGCACACACGCGGCGAGTGTCCGGCCGGCAGCCGTGGGCAGAGGGCCCCGGACGGCGGCGGGCGAGGGCTCGTACGTACGGCCCAGCCCTCAGTGACAGCAGACTGTCCCGGTGCCCTGTGCACCTCACCCAGATCTTTCCTGAACTCCACCGTAGTTCCTTATGACCGTGCTGTCGACGCTCGGTCAGCTTTTAACCAGTCCGTGCACACCCGTTCCCGGTGCTCGCTCTTGCTTTGTGTAGACACGATTCCCGCCCCGGCGTCGCGCCGTCCTTCTGCCCGGAGGACCTCCCTCAACGCTTCCGGACGGGGGGAGGGGGGGGCGGTGGCGACATCTTTTAGCTTTTGTACGTCTAAGGACAAACTCATCGCGTCGGTGTTTCTGAAATACCCTTTGCGGAGTGTAGCCCAGGCGGACCGTGTCTCCCTCCAGCTGGCAGTGGCGCCCCGTCTTCTGGCCGCGTTGTTTCGCACCGCAAGCCTGCGGTCAGCGTCGCTCTTCTCCCGCGCATGCTGTCCCTTTCCTCGGGCCGCCTTTCTGGCTTTCTCCTTGTTACTGCCTTGCGGCTACTTGATGTGATAAGGTTGCGTTCGGTTTCTCTTTAAAAGGCTCTCGTGCTTGGGGTGCGTTGCGATCCGGGCACCCGAGAGTTTATCGTTTGCCTCGTGCTTGGGAATGTTCAGCCACGGTGTCGTCTGTCTCCTGGCCAACAAGCCTCCACTGGCAGGGACGTCAGGACACCTGAAGCGCTGTGCTCGCGAGGCTCTGTTCTGTTTGATTCTCTTTTTCTTCTGTGTTTCCTTGTGGAGAGCTCCAACTGCCATGCCTTCAAGTTCATTACTCTTTTCTTCTGTGGCCACTGATCTGTCATTAATCCCATCCGGTGTCTTTTCCTTCTCAGGTATTTGGGCTTTCATTTCTAAAACTTCCACTTGGACACTTTTTTATATCATCCCTGATTCTACTCAACTTTTTAAATATATAGAACACAGTCACAAAAACTTTAAAAATTTTTTTTAATGTTTATTTGTTTTTGATAGAAAGAGACAAAGCACGAGCAGGGGAGGGGCAGAGAGAGAGGGAGACACAGAATCCGAAACAGGCTCCAGGCTCCGAGCTGTCGGCACAGAGCCCGACGCGGGGCTCGAACTCACGGACTGTGAGATCATGACCCGAGCCGAAGTCGGATGCTTAACTGACTGAGCCACCCAGACACCCCCAGGTAGAACAGCTTTTAAAGGCCTTCTCTGGCTAATTCTACCGCCTGAGTCAGTTTCTACTGACTGTTCTCGTGATAGGTCGTGGCTCTTCTTCCCGTGCCTGCTGAACATTTTGACTTTTACCTTGCCGGGGGGCTCCGCACACAGTTGTGAGCTTTGTTCTGGAACACAGTTACTTGGATGCAGCTGGAGCCTCCCGGGTGTTGCTTTCCTAATTTGTTAGGTGGGTTTGAAGCAGGTGTCCCCCTGGGACAGAGGCAGGACCTTCTGTGCACTCTGCCCTGAGACCCGTGGAGCGTGAGGTTTTCCAGCCCGGCTGGCAGAGACAGGCATGGCCCCCAGGCTCTGATCCTTCCCGATGCTTCTCTCCCCAGCGTGGGGAGCTTCCTCACATGCTTTCACCAGCCAGTTCCCACTGAAGGCTGAAGTGGGGGGCACTCCAAATCTCCAGGTTCTCTCGGCACAGCCCTCTTCTCCCTGGTCCTTTTTCCGCGAGCTTTACATGCCTCGGTCTCTCCAGACTCCCAGCTCCATCTTGTCTCCTCTGGGGGTCTGACAGGCTCTGCCTCAGTTTCCCCTTCTTGCGGTGGAGCCTAGAAACACTCTCAAGGCAGTCAGCTGTGACAATCAGGGGTCTCACCTAATTTGTTTTCTGTCTCTCAGGGATCACCGTGCTATATGGCCTGACGTCCAGGGTCTGGAGAATTGTTTTTTCATATACGTATTGTGAATGTTCATATATGTGTACATGCATAGACATAAGTAATTTTTTTGTTTTGTTGCTTTTTTTACTGTTTATTTTTGAGAGAGAGACAGACAGAGCATGAGTGGGGGAGGAGCAGAGAGGGAAGGAGACACAGAGTCCAGAGCAGGCTCCAGGCTCTGAGCTGTCAGCACAGAGCCTGACGTTGGGCTCGAACTCACAAACCGTGAGGTCATGACCTGAGCCGAAGTCCGACGTTTCACCAACTGAGCCACCCGGGCGCCCCTATTCTGTTGCTTTTTAAAGTCATTTTTAGCGGGACAGTAAATCCACGATCCGATCCCTTTTACTCTCTCGGCGGGAAGCACAAGTCCTCAAATTAACTTTCTAAAACTATAGAGTCCTTTTCCATCCACCCAACGCAGAAGGGACAGCTAGTAGCGGCCAATGCCAAAAGAGCTGCTTAAGCCTGGAATCTGCTGCCTCCCCACCTGCTGGATGCCGGACCTCAAGGGGTCACGCTCTGGCTCTGGGCCTCGGTCTCGGAAGTGAAGCCGCGGGACCAAGTCATTCCTGAGGCGCCTCTCCCTTGGGTCCGGTTTCTGATCAGTGCTTTGTATGATCAGTGGGTTCACACACAACTTCACACCGGCACTAAAGAGGCGGTTAAATCCTCCTGGTGCAGCCTTGTGAAGATCTGATGTGAAGCTGTGTGTATGGGGGGGGGATTACACTACCCCAGATATCCTACCTTTGAGAGGCCCTCCCGTAGAAAAGGCCACTGGAACCCTTACCTGACCCAGCAGGCTGTCCAGAACCCCTACAGGGCCCAACCACAGACTGCTTTCTGTCCTCAGAGCCCAGGCAGGAAGAGAGGCCAGACCAAGCCCCCTCCCAGCTGCCCCTGGCCAGGCTCTACTCTCAGGACAACCCCACCCACCAGGTACAGGGAGAGGTACTCTGGGGAGGCAGGTTCAGGGGAGGTACTGGCATTAGCTCTTAGACCCAAATCCTCCCTCAGCTGCCTGGAGCCGTCGGGTGCTGAGGCCCACCTCTCCTAGAGCCTGCACTCAGAGGATCTCTGCTGCAGATCCTGGGCTGGGATGGGGGTGGGGGGAGGCACTCCCTGCCATGGGCATCGCCCACCCTTCCAACTGACATCTGCCCAAGCCCCTTCCTCATGCCTGGGGTGGTAGGTGAGAGCAGGCATTTCGGCAAAGTGCTTCAGGCAAGGCTGGCCCCCACCTTTCAGGTTGCACATTTCAGGGCAGGTGGCCCAGTCTTTCCTCAGCCCTCTTGGGCACAAATACGTGCCCAGACCGAATCAAGGCAAAAGACCAAAATGATGAGGACCGCTCCCCGCCCTCGGGAGCCCGCAGTCGGGAGGGGGGTACCCCGCCCCAGGAAAGGAGGCACACAACTCGGGATGAGTGGAGCAGACAGTCTGGGAGGGCTTCCTGGAGGCGCCGGCCTCCTCCCCTAGGCTGGGCACCGCTCCCATCCGGCGAAGCTGGTCCCGGAGCGGCCCGGTCGGTCTGCCCCGCCCCAGCGGAGCCCGGCGGGGCCCTGGAGCGCGAACCCCGGAGCCCTCGGCTGCTTCACGCTGCAGATGCTTGACGTGAGCCTGCGGGAGGCGGAGCTGCGCGCGCAGCACCAGGCTGCGATGCTGCGCCTGCGCGAGAAGGCGCTGGAGGAGAAGATGCGCGCCGAGCTGGCCTGGCTGGAGCATCAGCGAGAGTGAGCGCGTGCGCGGCCCCGCCCCCGTTCCGACCCCGCCCCCGAGCCGCCCCGCCTGCCACTCGGGCC